ATATTATATATTTAAACCAGAATTTTAGCGGTTTCTATCTTCTACAAGAATTTCTAAATAAAATTAGTTTGTGTACTCTGTCACAGGTGTCGCTACCCTTGAAAATGAAAGCGAAAACACAGAGTTGGTTTATTGTAAATTGTATTGGCCGAGAAATAGTGAAATTTCTGGCGTTTTTAGGTACTGAAATCTTTAAAAGTAAAACGTGTAGAACAAAAGTAGGGGTAAGCACAAAAATAAAATCCTTGATGTTTTGTTTATTCATGGTTACCGTTTAAATTTACCCAAATAAAATAATAACTAAAAAAAAGCGTTTGCAAAACATGCGTTTGCTATTATCCTAACCCCACATTTTAACAATTATTTTCACGTACTTATAAAAAGTAAACAATTTTATATGTAGGACTAAGCAAGTAAATGTTATAAGAATATTTACATGTGGAATTATATATAAAAAAGATAGTATTTTCGTAGATTTCAGTACCTAAAACCTTAATGGTTTGATCGTTTTTTGCACCTGTTTATTCGTTTTACTGCGGCCGGCGTCTTTGAAAATACTCAGGTGGCATGACATAACATTCCTATTATTTGATAAGCTTTAGATTATTCAGTTATTAAATGTTTGAAATTATTTGTCTTTGCGGAAAACACTATTTACAGAATATGGGACCCATAATGGTCTGATATTATCTTTGATATATAAATATGGGTAATATTTTAAAAGTAGGTAGGTACCTAAGTAATAAGATTTTGTAAAGCTTAAGTAGTACGAAAATATAACGCATAAAAAACCAATAATATGTACTAATTTTTCTTTATTAAGAATAAAGATTAAATATTACGTACAGGGTATCCCACATAAAATCGTTATTTATGTTGTAGCCTTTGTAGTTTCAAAATAAATTTACAGCTTAAAAATTGGTCTGGCTCAGGTAGATTTCTGTTTCAATCTACAAATCAGTAGCTACTTACCGATAAGAGGGAAACCACTAGCCTAGTCGAGAAGTGAGTTTTCTGCGAAAAATAGTTATTGTAATCCTAAAAATATGGTTGTTAGTACATTGGATTCGGAATTAAATGCTGAGAAAGAAGTATTTTTTAATTTATCCGCAATTAAAAGTAGCAATTGTTATAAACAAAAAACGAAGAGAAAAAAGGGAGTCTCCTTTTTTAGCTATAACTAAAAAAATATTGAAGATAGCTGAAATTTCAAAAAAGATCCTGAAAGAGGAGAAAATTTCAGCAAAATAAGTCAGGACTCCCGGAATTGTAGCTCCATTATTTATAAAATATGGCTCCGCGCGGCGGTTTCCGCGTCGTCGCGTCGCCTTCAAGCAAAGTGTGCAACACAAAATCATTTTTTTATAGTATTCGATATTAATTTAAAAATCTAAATAAATTATAGTGTCATCTAGACACTTGAAGGAACACAGCCCAGTTGGAAAATAATTTTTAACTTGACTTTCCTTAGTTATTCAATTGTTAATGAACTAATTTTTCGTGGACTTAATCTTTCATAAAACTTGTAAAAGTTTAAATAATGTATCTACATATGTTTTTCTTTCTGGGAGGTCTTTTTATATACATAATAAACAAGATCCGTTGTAAAAGTTTATAAAAGTTTTTTCATTTGTTTATAATGATTTTTTAAATTTAACAAAAAATGAAAAATCAGGGAAATGTTTTTTTTTTACCAAATGTTTGGTTTTACTTGTTTTTCTATTAATATATTGCGTTTATTAACTCAGCTAAAAAAATTTTAACGTTATTTGTTTATAAATTTGTTATAAACAAATGGACAAGTTTAATATTTTTGAAACATTTTTTTGCCATTTTATTGTCTTGGTAAATTAATGATTTTTAAAAACAAAAATTTTTCTTAAATAAATTTTTTAATTGTTTATAATCGATTTTTATATTTATTTGTCATTTAAATTATTTATTAAGAAATCATTTTTTTTTAAATCATCATTTGCTATTATCAATATAATTATAAAAAAAAAATTTATTCAAATTTTCATTGTTTATTTTATAAACAATTTGTTATAAACAAATTCTGATTTTCATTTTATTTTTTTTTCGTAACTTTAACGAATTATAAATACAGCTATGTGCATCAAAGTGGTAAATAACATTTTTTTCTAATTTTTATTGCATTTTTAAATACTTTATCACATCAAAGCTGAAACGGTCACCTATTTGATAAACTTATAAATTGTTATAATTTCTAAATTATTGATGATACGGTCTTTGACATTCAGGTAGATCTTTTAGATAATTTATTGATCTATAACATGAATTTTTTTACCTGCTTCATATCTACAATGGTTATATTTTTATAAACATTTGTATATAAAAAAATGCATTATCTAATTCTTTAAATGACTAAAACTTTTAAACTATTGAAGTTACGGATTCCACTATTTAAGACAATTTTATAGAGTAACTACTGGACTACTCAATAAAAATTTTTTTATATTTTTTATTCCATTTGTTTACGATGTTTTTTTATTTGTTTAAATTATCACACGATTAAGGGTACATTTTCTGGATTTTCTGTACTTTTTTTCTAACTAATGTCAATATTTTATATTCTTCTTGTTGTTTTCTTCAATTTTGTCTATTTTTAATTAAACACTTAACTTTTGTAAGAGCAGAAACTCAAAATTTTAACCAATTGTGCAGCCTGGAAGATATTTACGGAATACAATGAACTTTTGAGTTATAAAATAAACAATGAAAATTTGAATAATTTTTTTTTTGTAATTATATTGATAATAGCAAATGATGATTTAAAAAAAAATTCTTAATAAATAATTTAAATGACAAATAAATCAAAAAAACGATTATAAACAATTAAAAAATTTATTCAAGAAAAATTTTTGTTTTTAAAAATCATTATTTTACCAAGACAATAAAATAGCAAAAAAATGTTTCAAAAATATTAAACTTGTCCATTTGTTTATAAATTTGTTATAGCTAAGTTAATAAACGCAATATATTAATAGAAAAACAAGTAAAATCAAACATTTGGTAAAAAAAAAATTTATAACATTTCCCGGATTTTTCATTTTTTGTTAACTTTAAAAATCATTATAAACAAATGAAAAAACTGTTATAAACTTTTACAACGGAATCTTGTTTATTATGTATATAAAAAGACCTTCGAGAAAGAAAAAAATTTTTAGATACATTATTTAAACTTTTACAACAAATTTTATGAAAGATTAAGTCCACGAAAAATTAGTTCATTAACAATTGAATAACTTTAACAAAAGTCAAGTTAAAAATTATTTTCCAAATTTTCCTGTGTTCCTTCAAGTGTCTAGATGACACTAAAATTTATTTAGATTAGATTTAGGCCCGATTTTTGAAAAAAAACCTAATTCGCCCGGACTACTAGGCTTATTTTATTCATTATTCAATTCTTCAAAAGTCTTCAAAATTTAGAAATAAAAAGTTGTCATTCTGGGAACAATTGTTTATACAAATTTTGACTTTTTTAGTATTTGTAGAATAAGCTTTACAAGTCGATTTTTCAGAGCACTATATTTCATTTTTGCAATAAGTATTTCGTTCTAAAAAAGTTTTTTTTCTGTTCTTCATTAGTATTATTTTTGGTTTTCCATTTAAAAATTAAAGTAAGTAGCAAAAAAAATAGTGTATCTGGCAATTGAATTCAGATCCACTATAACTGCAGGCTAATTATATTTGAAATCGCATTATATTGCTTGGTAATTGTCCAAAACATGACATAAATTTATTTAATTTTAATAAGCAATAGCATAAAATCGATGTAAAATTTCCCTGGGAACACGATGGTGCAATTATTTTTTTGCTACTTGCCGTAGTTTACGAGATATTTGCGAAAAACCTTATTTTTACGGGTTTTTGACCTTTTGACCCCTTGCCTGATCACCTAGGTCAAAAATTTTTGCGGATTCGGATTCCTGAGGGTCGAAAACATATTTGCGCCCAGGTTTGATCGACAGAGGAAAAAATGGAGGTTCAGCCTTCATTTCAATGGACTAAATACATACAGTAATATTTTATTTATATATTTTATGCCTATACATATTATTCTCCAAACGTAATTAGTAGCAAGTTTCTAGTATTTTAATTAATTTTAGTAATTAAGCAGTGTTTTTAAGTTAATACGACTCACCAAAGTAAAAAAAATAATTCAGGCTAGGTATATATTTTTTTTAATGAAAATAGCAGTTAATTTACATTATCGCATTGTTAATGTGAAAATATAAACATTAGACTGTTGACTATTCCATGTTATACGTGTTTTAACGTCACTTTTGAAGAAGAAACTAAATGTAATTTTAAAAACCGTATTTCTATTTTTATAATGAAGGAATAGTAATTATAAGATTGTTTAAGCTTATTAACTAAAAATTATTGCCTACTCAATAAAAAAATTTTATTGTCCTCGATAATAATCTATTACTGATTAATAAAATATTTACTCTCTTTCCTTATAAGATTGTATGTACACAAATTGGAGCCGTTCCTGAAAAATCGGGCGAATATGGTTGCAGTGTAAATTATTAGACTTAAAGCGTTGGCCGCTAGAGCAGCACCTGCCGGGGTCCCGTTTCGTGACTCACGCTGGGCGATATTTTTTGTACAAAATCCCGTCCTTAAGTCAACTTACACTGTGCGGAGTTACAATGGAAAATAATTTAGTAAAACATTGGTTTTATACAATTTAGTGACGTGTTATTTTAAAGTCACCATATTTTTTGATGCCAATGTGTACAAATTATCCAATATTATATGTAGATATGTTACTAATTGTAAATGAAACTAACTTAGGCCCTGTATATTATTAATTTTGCAATTTGCTTTTTCAGTTCCATTGGCATTCGTACAAATACATTTTTTCTCTGACCAAGAGGAAGGCTATATTAGAAGAAGGGGCCACTAAATGGACGTCCTATGTACTGAAATATTTATAGGTAGGTAGTAAAGAATATTTTTAAAATACTCACATATTTGGCAACACGAGACACCTGTAGTGTTAAGTCCAATCCGGATGGCCCAGCACCCACAACTAGAACCCTCTGATCCTTATTACACTCAGGTGATCTAAAGCTGTGGCTGTGCTCTATTTTTCCAGTGAAGTTCTCTTGACCAAGAAAGTTAGGCATTACAGGTTCGTTGTAGTGCCCGTTACATATCATTACAGCATCATAAGTATTCGTAATTCTTTCATTAGTCGGCTTGTCTACGTAGGTCAATTCCCACTGATTATTTTCAAGAGGGTGAATATCGATAACCATTGTGTTGAACTGAAATTGCGAAAAATATCGATGAATATATTACTCATGTATCTACAGCAAACTTAAGTAACACTTTGGTACTCTAAACTAAATAATTAGGTTTACCAAACGCAGAACAAGATAGAACTATTATAATAAAATAAAAGTAAATGGGATTCGAGAGAAATGTGGAAAAAACTAAAAAACTTTGATAAACAATCAGAAAAGTATTGTAGATAGAAGTTGTTTTAAATCGTATACAGATACGGTTGTCGGATATTTTAATCAAATTTATTTAGACAATGGCGTTGAGTGAAAACCCTTCACTCAACAACAATAGGTATACAAAACATATTAAATACAATCATACAGATTATAATGTTATAATAATTGTTTCTTCATCTTTAGAGTTTTCCCAGTTCAAATAAATATCTTTGAATCAACTGTGTAAAATTGTTTTTATTTAAAAAAATCAAACTGTAATGATACCATGTCAAATGAAGTCTCTATTTGATGTTATGGGTTGTTCATTTACATTTTCGTTTTAAAAACAAGAAGATTGCCATCTAATTTGAAATAATATACTTAATTGATATTAATAAAGTACAAACAACTGAGTTTTTTATGTAACTGCATTTAGTTTGTTTGTTGTTTGCTCCATTGCATAGTAAATTCCTAAGGATTAACCATAAAAATGAAAAGAAGCCTTTACATGAATAACCCTCTAAAGTGATTCCTAAGGATACTACAGCCTTACAGCCTTTTCAATTATTTTAAATAATCTACATTTTTGGGGAAAACCTTATACAGCCCATAGTACCTTTAGGTACCAACTATAGTACCAATTTTTATGTACTTATAGGATATGATAGAGCTATTAGAAATTCTTATATACCCTGTATTTCACTTACATTAAATTTAATACACAAAATTTACTTTTTAACTCGTAATCGTTATGAGACACGCAAATTTTACAAGTCGCCAAAAATCTTTATACGGAAATACTCAAATGTATCAATCTTGGTGTGCGAAACTTTTATATATCAGTAAGTTGATACAAATTTTCCTCACCTAAACTACTAATGTTTAAATGGGTTGCCCTCGAAAATAGCTAATTTTAAAAACATAATAATAAGTTTTTTAAGTTAAAAGGTCCAAGTCATGAAGATCTTAAATAAAGAAAAAATTTCCCACCAGAACAGATGGAACAGAACTTTATTTAAGCCCTAAAGATTTATTCGCCTCTGAATCATGTTGGTTCATATTTTCATTTAGTTTTATAAATGATGAACACTCGAGCATATTTCCACTTGTTGAGATATTTTCAATATATTAAAAAAATACTTGAAGTATTTCCCGACCATTGATTTTGGAGAGTTTTTCCTTAATAAGTGAAGTTGGGTCACCAGGTAATGTTTTGATTATGCAATCTGCGACACCTTGTATTATGTCTTTTAAGTAGGTAAATAATTAATGACTAGATGGTTCCACAAAATTTTCAGGGACACTTATTTAGGTTAATTTTGGAGAAAGAATAATAATTGGAAAGAGATGTACCTTTATTAATTCTTTGAGGTTGAAAAAGTCGGCATAAAGGTTCAAGAAGTCGAGAATCTCAGCTTGAGTCAGATATGATTTCTTCTGTTCTGGAATGGGAAAATCAGGAAAACCCATAACTTCTTTGGGTAGATTTGTTCTGGAAAATATATATTTAATTAGTACTAAACAGAAACTCATTTTATTGCTTAGTCTACAATGTATTTATCGATGCAAATGTAATAAGCCGTTTAATAAATTGTTTGCTCATATTGTTTGTTTAATTTTTTTATCAAATACAAATGATTAATGTATTAGCAGACATCTAAATGTTGTATTAATTATTTATTCGAGATAGGTCATCACACTATGAAATATTCTAACCTTTTTAACTCAGGTTCCGGGTAATTTGGCACATTATAAGTAACCCTGTTTACAAGTTTATACAGGGTATTAGAAGTTGGACTGTCTTAATTTTAACAGACGATAGAATACATCAAAACAAACAAAAAAAAACTTATATGACATGGGTCCTAAACTCAACCATTTCCGAGAAAAAAAATTATTAAAATCTCCAATTTGATGTACAAAAGTTCAATTAAAAGATATTGACATAACTGCGTGCACAGAATACCATAAAATACAATGTTTATCACTTTTTTAACTTCTTTATGCTTAATTCTAGAAAATAATTAGCGTTGTAATAAATTTAAAATTCGATAAAATTCATATCGAGCAATGTAACAACGGCGTGGTGGATAACACGAGGTACTAAGCTATCCAGCAACACGCAGTTCAGTTGGAATCTGGAATTGGACCGTGTCTGAGTGTTTTCTGCGTACTACTATTTCCTTTTCTTGAGGTATTTTCCAGCGAGTGCGCGAAAATTGGATTCGAAGGTGTCGTGCGTGCATCGAAGATGGTGGTGGACATTGTGAGAATATGTTGTAGTTTGTTTTGTACTTGTGCGTTTAAAAATTACTGAATTTTGCTTTTTGGTAAGTACCTGATTATTTAGATGACGTGAATCTTTGGGTACTTTAATTACATATTTTTCAAATTCATAATTTGATTAAAAGTTAAGTTCCTGTTTTAAGAGATTCATAATTACTAAAATTCGAGCTAAAATTTAAGCACAACACCATCATCGTACTACAAAATCGATACATTTTATTTTATTTATTTAAAAACTTGAAAACAATTGTCTTGAAATTTACTAAATGTTTCACAGTAATAATTGTTTACAAGTCTGCCGCGTGCGCACGTGGTATGCACCAGCTGTGTAGCGTTAGGTTAAGCGCTGTTGTCACGTTGTGATGAAACTCCCCAATATTACTCGCTGTATTTTTAAAACTGTTAATCTTACGCCCCTGTAATATACAACTTTTTTGTTCATTAATGATTACTCTATCTCATGCTGAAGTAATGGCAGTCAAACTTCCTATATCCTGTATAAATCCAAATTAACTTTGAAACATGTGTATTAATTATTGTGACATATTCTAGTCAATAGTAGTCAATAATAAAATGAGAACATAAATATTACATAAAAATGATTTAAAATTAGAACATCGTATTGCACTATACATACATAAGTTACTAACAATATGTGTATAATTTAAGAAACAAAAGACTGCTTTCAAAGTCTACATCATAACCATAGGAGATTGTCCTCTAGGCCTATAGTAACCATTTATCTAAAGCCACTGGTTTCCGAGACGCAAAATATCCATATGCTGACGCCTCGAATGTGTTTCTTCTTTCTTTTACAAAACCATATACTTTTTATTAATAAAATATCGGTGATAGCTTAAAATTAAAATGTTTACATTCAGACATATGAAATACGTGCTTATAATATTTTTATCTATTATTATTATTTACTAGTCTTTGATAACTAAGCATTGATCAATTAAAGAAAAATTAGGCACACAATATTTATTTAACAAAATAAAATATGATTCCGTTAATTTTTGTTCGAAACGAAGTAAATACAGTGTAACCATCAAAAGTTCAAAACAATCATAGGGGTAAGAGTTTTTCTGTCTGTGTCCCTTGTTTCTCATCAGATAATTATTTTTTTTTTCTTTTAATTAACTAGTTATTAGCCCAGGTTTCATCAGAGATGTTTAAATAAATGTGATATTTTTTAAACTTCAGTATCTTATCTCAAAAACTTGGTTTGTAAGGGTCTTTAGTTTAAAATGATCCAAGGGACAACAAGCTAGTTATGATAGCCCATCCAGTATTTTAACATACGTCTATTAACCGTTAAAATTTATACAAGATATCTTGATAACTTACTAGGGTTATTAAAAAAAATTAAAACAAGTTTTTATATGATTCAATATGAAATCATTAAATTAAATGTTATGAAATATTATCAATAAGTATTTGCTATTCATTTACGTATATTAATTTGTAATTAACGAATTTCTAGACAAATTAATGTTAATGATAAATTAATATTTTCACATTAATTTTATTACAGTTTGTTACATAAGTAATCGCTTGAATGTTATCATAAACTTACGAAATCATTACTTGTAGTGAGTAGCGATATTTATAATTTGATTTTTTTGAAAATTGTAGTAATATCGTTAGTTAAAAACTGAGATTATTACATCTATTGCGTAATTTGTAGTATTGTACTCATTTAATTTTCTTTTTTTTTATTTAAGTTTGTAAAATATCTAAGCTCCTAATGTTGCAACTGTTTACTTCGACATTAAAATATACTGAACATTTGAAACAAATAAGGACTTAAATTATCTGAGAAAAAATTGTGAAATAAGCGATATAATTTCCATCATGTTTGTTTTTGCCATTAGGTTTTTGTAAAAATATGACTAAATAACTGACATCAGAAAGTGTGAACCTTGTTTGTATTACTTATCTGTTTTTTCCACAAAATTCGTTTTACTATCCCTTGACCCCTCATTACGCTGTATCATCTAACTTATTAGGATATAATAGTTAACAGGGATAAAATCTGCATAAACAAGTTGTACCTACTGGTCTGTTTCTCGAAGTTTTGAAAAAATGTTGTTATTAATAAATCATTAGAAAGTTAAACAGTAAATAGCTATATTAATGTAATGTTGGTAAGTAAAAATTATAGTTTCCTGTTTGGTAAAACAAGTTTTCAAAGTAAGATAAAGTAAAATTTCAACATAAACTATATTTGGTAATATTCTAGTAATTATTCCACATAACTACAAGAAAAATAATTTCAACACTTCAAAGTGATGCTTTTCATTCAATTATCTGTAAATATTTTTAACAATATAAAATAACAACAATCCATCAAACTTTGTCTGTCGTTTTTACTTTAAAAATAAGATTAAAGAACATGCACAGAAGAAATTATGTGATTTTCTGTCAGATATGAAATTTTCTCAAAACAAAAGAAGTATGGAAATTTTGAAAATCTTCTAGAAAAGCTTTTCGATTTCATACTCATATGGGTAGATACCAATTTTCAACAACCTAGTAATCTTGTACTATATCGTCTAACTGAATCTTTGTGACTAAATACTGGTTTTAATACAACTTTCTTTATGAAGGTCTGTTATTAAAAATTCATTAAACACTATGCAACATGTATTTAATTTAAACAATCTATTTTGATTTCCTATTATACTTAAACTCACCTAAAAAAGTTTTAAGGCCTTGTTAGTTTGTAAAATTCGAATAAGTTTTCTTTTTTATATACACGAATATAGAAAGCTATTTATACATATAACTGTTTTGTATAATGCATGTCATTCTTTTATTAAATTAAATTAAAAAGGAATCTGATTAACTGATTAACGTAAATTAGAGAATAATTAATTTTTGAATTGTGGATGAATTATGTACATCTGGTACATTTTTATTTGTTTTAGTTTTTATAAAAAAAAGATCTAAACGAATATTTAACAGAAACACATCTAAGTGGTTACAATACTGAAAATATTTAATTCTATTCAAGTTTGTTTATTGACACTGAAAATAAAAAAAAAATGTAATTACATACATATAAAACATAATAATCATATAAGGTTTCGTGATTCTTCAAAACAAACTTGTCTTAAATAGTATAAAAATATTTGATATTTGTATGGTTTTACCATACAGGTGTAAAATCATAGAAAAAAAAACATTTTTTGTTAACTTTAGTAAATGCGATATTGCTACTTTTAGCGTCACCAATGTTTTTTAACAGTATTGTAATAATTTTTTATTACTAATTTTCTCAAAGAACAAACCGAAAGAAGCATGCCTGCCAATTAACAATGAAACGCCATCTTATTATAATATGCACTTATGTTCAACAGTAGATATGAATAATTAGAATTTTATGTCTCCCAATTTCACATATCCATTTTTGCTCTCAAAATATTAATATGCCGAGGCTACTGATAAACATTGTCAAAATAACTTAATATTTCAGTAATATTACGTCATTGATCTTTGGAAGATACCACTTAATTGATATTTCATAATTTATTTAGATAACTTAATAAACGTAACCAAACTTAAAGATTAGTACTGAAACAGAATCGTAGCAGTAAGTTGAGTTAATTCAAATTCAAGGTTAATAAAGAGGAGAAAAGTTAAAAACGTTTTACTTAAATTTCTCCGATACGTTTTAGACATTGTTTTTCTGTTTACATTCCATTCATGCTGAATATTCTGCAAATAGATATTTTAAGAAAACATATTTTTGGATTAAAAAATATCAGGGACAGATTAAAAATAGCCACAGACATAACAACGTATACCTAATAAAATGGAATCATAATAATGTCTAATTACTTATTGAATAGATATTTTATATAGAACTGATTTATCTACATTTATTTATTAATGTTTTTTTTATATTCAGTTAAACTCTAGTTCCACGTTATTCAGAAATGTTGAATAAAGATTATTTGAAGTATCAGAAATTTATTTAAATGTAAATCTACTAGTTATATTGATTATTTAATAAATTTATTTTGCTTATTTTCTAGTGAATAAAATTGATTGAAATATCTTTGCCACCTAGATAATCTTGAGAGGATCGAGAATTTAAATAATTTATTCTTAAAATAGTCGAAATCCCATATTTTAACTTAAAGAACAAAACATTTATCCATTCGTTTTTGACTAAACCACTAACAAGTATTAGATAAAGATAAAATATTCTAAAAACGGTATCAAAAACTTTTCTCTTGTTTTAATGTTTATGTATGGGTAGATAGGTTATTAAATAAACTATTTGCATTCAAAAACTTTAAAAACTTATGTACAGAGTTTGGGATACAATAATTAGGGTGTACCAGAAAACTTAGCAGCACGCTTGATCATATACTCCCAGAATTAAAATAAGACGACTTAGATCAACTTACCTTGTACATAAAGGTCAATAGTTACCAAGATGTAGCCTATAATTTATCGTGAAACAAGACATACCTACATATTTAAGGTACATCCAATTGAACTAAAGATTTCTGACTTGGCACGCGTCTACACTAAATGGGATATTCTTTGCTGTTTTAATCAAAATTTATTATGATCTTAGTCAGTATTTTTTTTTACATTTAACATGATACCTATTTAATAAAATTTTCTATGACTTTGGTTTATGTAAAAAACAGGATTAATTAATAAACTTATCAATACATTATATCCCTAATATTAGAAAAAATGATTTAACAACTTTTAAGTAATCATAAATAAAATATTATTACGTTTGTCTGATCCAAGTCCATCTAAAATTCGAAAATTGATAGAAAAATGATTAATTTATAGTTCATTTGTTATTTGTTTTACTCACATCCAATTTGATGCAACTGGCACTGATTAGAGATCAGCTTTGGTCAGTATTATAGATATTATTATATTAAATACTAAAACGTATTTCAATTTATCGACAAGATTTGTCTGTTTTACTCGAAATCCATAGTAAATTTTCCAAGTGTATAAAAAAGTTATTGATACTAACTTTATTTTAATAAGAGAGGCTTTATATTTACAAATTGGCACAAATAGCAATACCCTACTTCTTTAACATTTAAACATAACTTACCTCAACCCTTTATACATAGCGGAATATACAGGGTAACCGTATCTATCGTTTCCAACGTCGTCAGTATAAATCCAGGTACCACCAAGTTGTTCCCTCATTTCAAACACGTCACATTTGAACCCATTGGCCGACACATGTCTTGCGGATGCCAAACCGGCAGCTCCAGCTCCAATAATTGCCACATTCATTTTGCAAGCTTAATTCAGGAAGAATAAAAAATAAACAGTAGGTAAACAAGAGCGCGCGAAAGGAGACTCGAGAAAATCTCAAACGGTGTACACCACACAAAAGACAACTGGAAAATAAACAGACACAGAAGTTTAATTTCTTATATGTTAAATAAGAAATGTATGTCTGTCCTTCTCCAAACAACAGAGATCGAGAATTTCTCAACTGATAAAAGGGTATATCCCATAAATGTGTCCGATAGCAGATATGAGCATTACGAAACTTCTTAATTAGATTACACAATTCTGCAATTTCCATTTAGGATGTGGCAGTGATTACATCGGTTGACGGGAATCAATGATCAATTAGTAGCTATGTCTAGGTAGAATCTTGAGTGAAAAAAAATTATAAATTAAAAATATTTGTTTTAAGACGGAACTAAAAGTACTAAACTAGAAAACTACAAATCGTAAATTCTTGAGAAAGTTTTGAAATAATTAAATTCTAAAATTTAGTGCAACATTTGTAAAATTGTAGGTACAATACAATAAAAAAATATTTGAAAGTCTCATATAACATTAATTCTTCTAACCTACATATTAACAGGGCAAGATTAAAAACTTAAAATTAAATAACATTGTTTATGCATTGGTTCTTGTTTACTTTTATAATGTTCTGCGCCAAAACGAAGTTTCAGATCAATAAAGATTATATGTAAAAGGCAATAATAATATTTATTTCAGACAGTTCCCCACTCTACGGAGAAAATATGAAGTTATACAAAAAAAATTGAGAACATATGCGCCATGAAAAATGGTAAAAACATTTTTTGTAAAATTCTTATAGTTCACGAGGAAAAAATTATTGAAGTTGTAGTATTTAAAACCATTACATCGCTGGGCTACTGTAGTATCTAACGTCATTCCCGTTGTGCACTGTACGCAATTCGCTCTCTCTCACCACGTGGCCCTAGACGATTCCGAATACTGAAATCTGATTTTAGTATTACATTACTTTTGTAAGTGCCAAAAATGGCCTACGTGTATAGCAACTCGGAGTTGATGGATATCGTTTCAACTTATGATGAAGCAATACGACATTTGTGTTATAGTGAAGTATTTGTGTTATGGTGAAGCAAAACAATATTTGTGTTAGTTCATAGAAATTGGGTACGACGGCGACGCGCCGACGCGTCCAAATGTGTTTACACGTCGGTGGACAAAATTTTGAACAGTTGTAACATAAGGCATGTCATATTATTTTATTAATTCAAACCACAAATTAATTTTATTAATAACAATAGCTGCAAAAGCAGTTGAATTTGCTGATATAAAATACGTGTTATAAAATTTTATTTATTTTTTTCCTTAGGATGTTTCCAGTGCCGAGCAGATGTATATTTTCTGTTGTTACGAATGTAAGACCTGTTGTGATATATTATATCATATTGTTAAGATTTTAAAAACTACATTTTTGAAATATCTCAAAAAAAAGTTTTTACGTCTTTTAAAGGATATTTAATATTATCAATTACTTACATATACATATGCGGTTGGCAACATTGCATTGCACATAACCTTCTCTGAAATCACATGTTCTTAGATTGTGGATGTCTCATTTAGTTTTCGTGATATTGTTATTTGAATGTTTAAGGAGGTTTACATATAGTTGAAAAAGAAATAAGACAATTTGCAAAATTGTTTTTCAAAGAGAATACAAAAATACAATACTGAAAATTCCCAGTTATATATTTATTAAGTATTTAAGTGGAAAAAATATTGTTGGTACAAAATACTTTCATTGGTGGCCAGTTATGTCGTACGTCGTCATCATTTAAAAAATATATATCCAATTGTGTAAGCTGTAGAAGTTGTAAATTTGATCTAAAATCAAAAATTAATTCCGTAATTGGTGGAGATGTAATAAAACCAATAAAAACTGGAAAAGAAAAAAAAACGGTTGAAAGTGTTAAAAGAAATAAAAATTATTTTTTCCTCTATTTTGTTAGTATATCCTCTAATGAATTTAATTTACTTTAAATTAAAAAAAGGAGTCGATATCTTATTGAATTCAAGATCTAGAGCTTATACAAGTTCAGAAAACGTAGTATTGAGAAAAGTACGTTTAAAATTGTTTTTTAGCGTGTATAGAAATCACAGAAGGGCATACGTATAAATATTTCTCGACTACAGAAAAATATTGCCATCTTAAATCAATTGTTAATACAGCTATCTACCGTCAGGTACACTTATTTTACAATGACAAAAAAATTGTCGAAAATTGAATAAAAACCTAAAAAATTTAAAACATTTAAGTGCCTAAATGATACTATAGCTCACGTATAAAGTTAATTTCGAAAAATATGTCTAAGTATCATATTCTACACATGTTTATCTACCAAAATAAGAAAAAATTTTAGGGTTGAATTTCATGTAATTACCGCCTTAAGTGTTAGTTACCATTTTCAAAACCTGCGTTTTTCTGGAACGAAGCAATGTAAAATTTTGCGTGAAAACGTTCCAACTTTTGAAACAATCTTACGGAAATGGTGGTCTGGGTCGTACGCAATATTACGAATGATTTTCACTATTTAAAAGTGATCATCAGTCAATTGAAAATGATCCTCGTCAGGAAGGCCGTCGACTTCAACTGATGATTCTCACGCGTTCAGAAAGTCAAAGATGTGTTGTGTGCAAATCGCCGATCGCATCAAAGCAATTTTTTTACAGAATTTAAAGGCCATTTCAAATGGTGCTATACTGGAGTACTTCGCCAGATGGAAACACCGCTGGAAAAAATGTGTGTGAATAGAGCAGGGAGTACTTTGAAGAAGACGACGACTAATGTATAATCATATATAATCATAAAGTTTAAAAAAATAAAGTTCGGTTATTTTCTGAACAGACCTCGTATGTTTTAATAAATCAGTATTTAATAATTTATTAAACTGTACAAGTAAAGTAAACTCTAAAATTACAAACAAAAATTATCTTCTGATAATATAATAGTGGAGACATTTTCTATCTAATAATGCAGTAATACCTCTCTACAATTGCGCGTTAATATTGTCAGCAATTCCTTAAGAATGATGCAATGAGCACATGTTGAATCATAATACTTAATACTTAAGTATTTTAAAAATATTTATTTGCATTGTATACCTATGTTTATAAGAAATGCTGAAAATTAATAATTGTTGTCAATATCGTATCATAATATAGTTTTGTTTATATTTTGTGCATACAACGTGTCCACCTAGTGCGCGTAAGTCCAATATCTAAGTTAATAAAAGATATAACTTATTTTTCCTACGGAGCTGCACAAAATGAAAATATATTTGCATATACAGGGTGTTCAGTTTTTCCTAGACAGGTACCAACTTTTTAAATGGAAACCTATATTTTTATGGCATTATCGAATTCTACGTGAAAAATTAACGGGACTTTGTGTTATGATCCCTATTAAAATGTTGACAGTTTTTGAGATAATCGACTTTTCATTTTTTTTTTTCTTATGTTTCGTCACTTCTAGTAGTTGACATAATTATGATTATGACGGCTAGAAATTATTTTTTTTTCAGGAACTGTAGAGTGAAGATGGCTCTTTCAAAAAACGTATCAAAAGTTGACCTGCGATATACAGGGGGCAAAAAAAATCGTGCCAAACCTGATAATTTAAAATTTGAAAAATATCGGCTTTTTGAAATAGAACAGCCTATGTTTTATGATTTCATTAGATGCCTTTCTGTAGACCCTAAAAATTTTTAATAGATTTCCCTATACCTAAGTTGCGTAGTTTTTGCAAAAAACCCATTTTTATGTAAAATACCGGATTTGCGTGACGAAACATAAGAAAAAAAAAGTCGATTATCTCGAAAACTATCAATATTTTAATAGGGATCATAACACAAAGTCCCGTTAATTTTTCACGTAGAATTCGATAATGCCATAAAAAATATAGGTTTCCATTTAAAAAAATTAAGTTGGTACCTGCCCAGGGAAAACGGAACACCCTGTATATGCAAATATATTTTCATTTTGTGCAGCTCGGGAAAGTAGGCAAGTCTGTAGAAAAATAAAATAGGTTATACCTTTTATTAACCTAAATATTGGACTTATGCGCACTAGGTGGACACATTGTATAAAATGCGTCTTTAATAATGAAAATATAAATATATTTTTTATTGTACGGTTTCATTCTCAAATTCATGAAAAAAATTGGAAATCTTTAGTGGAAAAATTTATCAAATGTATTTCCCGCCACATGCGATAATACTCTCTTGATTAGTCACACATACATATACGTCAGTAATTTGCACCATAATATTTAGTATTTCTTAGTATTAGTTATTACTAGAACTAGAATTTAATTCATTCACATAACCATTTATGTGCTCAGTAATTTTCCATTTCCACAAAATTAGAGAAATAATCATATTCCAATCTTTGACAATCAGTCTAGAATATATCTTTTGTATATAAGTACAAGTATTATTGTATTTCATCATGAGCACTTTTAATTTATAAAAAAAAAATAGATAATCTGAGATTCTCGCAATCAGTAGATCTTAGATAAAAAGATAATTATCAAAATCCTGAAACTAAACTAGAAATATAGATATAATGTTAATGTCACTATTTTTTAATACTTTTAATAATTTTGATAACCGATACACTGTTTATCTTACTTTTATTAGGACAGTTTTCAAGGAAAGTATAAACTGCAAATATAGATCACGAAGACTAATGTCTAATATTTTAATGCAGCTTTTATAAAAGCAGTTTTATCTTTGTATTTAATAAAACTAAAATAATATTAATAAAAAATAATAAAAATATATATCTTCATTTTTTCTAATGGAGGAATGTACGAAAATGTAAGTGATTATTCTATTTTTAAGATTGAATAAAATGGAAAATGCGGTGAAAGTTTTAACTATCAGCTAAATGTTTTTTCATGATGATATTGAATTTTGTACAGTGCTTTAAAAACGGTGAAGTGACATTTATAACCAAGCAAA